CAGCCTCGACCTGTTGGGCTCCAGTGATCCTTCCACCTCAACCTTCCAAGTAGCTGGTACTACAGGCATGTGCTACCACACCCAGCTAATTTTTTTTTTTTTTTTGATTTATTGTAGAGATGAGGTCTCGCCAAGTTGCCCAGGCGGGTCTTGAACCGGCGGGCTCAGGCAATTCACTCACCTCGGCCTCCCAAAGCGTGGGATTACAGGCTGAGCCACCAAGCCCGGCCTCTAATTTACTTTCTAAATAAACTATCTTTTCCCATCTTAAAAAAAAGAGAGAGAGAAAGGCAGCTGTGGGTATACCCTTTGTATCATATGGCATAACTTGAAAAGATAGATAAGCCAGTTACTGTAACCCTAAAAGAAAGACTTTCAAAGTTGAAGAAAGATTGTATTGAAGTATCGAGTGATACAGATCGAATATTTCTTTTTCTTTTTGAATTGGAATCTCACTCTGTCACCCAGGCTTTAGTGCAGGAGCATGCTCTCAGTTACTTTAGGCTTCCAAGTAGCCGGAACTACAGGCTCATGTTACCATGCCCGGCTAATTTTTTTGTTTATTGTAGATATGAGGTCTCACAAAGTTACCCAGCTGTTCTCCAACCCATGGACTCAGGCAGTCCTCTTGCCTTGGCCTCCCAAAGTGCTGGGATTATAGGCTTGTGCCACCATGCCTGGCCCTGATCGAATATTTCTGTGTGCACAAAGTCAGAAAAGTAAAATCGGAAAAGTAATATTCTTTTGATAAACTTCATTTTGTGATTTTGTAATTTTGTAATTTACAATTAGAACTTTTTTTATACATTTATTTAGTTTGCAGAGCAATGGCAAAACGAAAAAAGTCAAAGTTATAAACAGCAGCAAAGATGAGTTAGATTTAGGTTTTATACAGGTAAGTTAGAAAAAGTAAATAATAGCCTGGCTCGGTGGCTCAGCCTGTAATCCCTTGCTTGGGAAGGCTAAGGTGAGTGAATTGCCTGAGCCTATGGGTTCAAGACCCACCTGGGCAACTTGGCGAGACCTCATCTCTACAATAAATTAAAAATGAGCCAGGTATGGTAGCGCACACCTGTTGTTCCAGCTACTCAGAAGGCTGAGGTGGAAGGATCGCCGGAGCCCAGCAGGTCGAGGCTGCGGTGGCCGGAGTGGCCACTGCACTCCAGTCTGGGTGACAGAGTGAGACTCCAACTCAAAAAAAAAAAAGAAGTAAATATTGATGTGGAAGAAAATGAGAGTAGCGACACTGATATCATCCCACCAAGAAGAAGTCGGGTGAAGGTAATAGAAAGTGGTAATGATGAAAGTGTTAGTAGTTGCCAGACTCGGTGGCTCAACCTGTAACCCCAGCACTTTGGGAGGCCAAGGCAAGTGGATGCCTGAGCCTGCAGGATCGAGACCCACCTGGGCAATGTGGTGAGACCTCGTCTCTACAATAAATAAATAAGGCCGGGCTCGGTGGCTCAGCCTGTAATCCCTGCACTTTGGGAGGCTGAGGTGAGTGGATTGCCTGAGCCCAGGTTCGAGACCTGCCTGGGCAACTTGGCGAGACCTCATCTCTACAATAAATCAAAAATTAGCCGGGTGTGGTAGCGCACACCTGTAGTTCCAGCTACTTGGAAGGCTGAGGCGGAAGGATCGCCGGAGCCCAGCAGGTTGAGGCTACGGTGGCTGGGAGCGGTCACTGCACTCCAGTCTGGGCAACAGAGTGAGACTCCAACTCAAAAAAATAGATAAATAAAAATAAAAAAATAAAGGGTGAATATAACATGCAATCCAAATAAGCCTACCAAATGAGTCATATGCATTTATGTGCTAACTGATCCAAAAACAGGGTAACTTTTTTCAGTACTTCCCTACTATGGCAGCATAACATCTGAAAACATCATTCAACCTGATCTTCCAGTAAGCACCAGAATTCCATTACATTTATATAAAAAGTTGTTGGGAAAAGTTCTCAATGCAGCAGGATACCACATGTTTATTGACAGATATTACACTAGTATTGTCCTAGCAGAAGCACTACTAAAGATGAAATGTCATTGTACTGGTACAAAGTCAACCAAAAGGGAATACTAGCACAAATCAAAAGCCAAAATGTTTAACAAAAACCAGAAGAAAATAGAAAAGTAATCTTATGTTCCTTGCATGGAAGGACAAAGGATCACTACAATTCTCAGTATTTGGAATCATGCAGGAATGAAATTGAACACAAGGACATTATGTGGTGGAAATATATCAGTCAAAAAGCCTGAAATGATTCTAAAATTTTTTTTTTTTTTTTGAGTTGGAGTCTCACTCTGTCACCCAGACTGGAGTGCAGTGGCCGCTCCCGGCCACCGCAGCCTCACCTACTGGACTCCGGCGATCCTTCCGCCTCAGCCTTCCGAGTAGCCGGAATTACAGGCATTCGCTACCATGCCGGGCTGATTTTTTTATTTATTGTAGAGACGAGGTCTCACTGCCCAGGCGGGTCTCGAACCCATGGGCTCAGACAGTCCACTCACCTCAGCCTCCCAAAAGGCGTGATTCTAAATTTTTAAAAAAATTTTCTACAATTGTTCTCATGTTGCAAATATGAGCAGTGAGGGTCGTGTGGATCAATATGCTTCTACATTTTTTATGCAAAAATGTTTAAAGTGGACGAAATTATTCTTCTGGGGACTAGAAAGATGTATTACTAACTCCTATATACTGTACCAAGCATCAAAAAAAAAAAAAAAAAGAAAACCCTATGCCCCACTTGAAATCTGTCAAGCTTCTGATTGATCAGTTGAGAAGTGGTTTTCAGGAATCACAAGTGCATCCTACCACATCTTTTCAAGCAACAGACTGGACAATAAATTACATATTATTAATGTGGGAGGAAGAAAATGAGACTGCATTGTCTGCTCAAATAGAAAAACACCAGGTGGATGACATCAAACAAATTACTATTGGACACCATGTGTCAATGACTTTCACATATAAGCACGTTATAAAAATATACGATATAAAATTTTAATTTTTGTAGTCATAAATGAGTTCCTCAAAGTCCAAAATTTCATTAGAAGCCAAATATCATTATAATAAAATAGCTAGTATAGTGCTATACTATTTTATATGAAGGGATTCATTTTTCACTATTTTGTAAAAGTGCGGTCAAGTTGCTGGTAGGTGAACCGCTATATATCTCCAGGTGCAAAGGGTTAATATATTTTGTTACTTGTTCTTTTATACTATCCATTGACATGAATGTGTTTCTTTTCAGTCATGTAATTTTTTTTTTTTTTTTTTTTTAGTTGGAGTCTCACTGTCGCCCAGGCTGGAGTGGCACACTCACAGCCACCACAGCCTCAACCTGCTAGGCTCAGGTGATCCTTCCGCCTCAGCCTTCCAAGTAGCTGGAACCACAGGCATGTGCAACCATGCCCAGCTGATTTTTTATTTATTTATTTATTGTAGAGATGAGGCCTTGCCAACTTGCCCAGACTGGTCTCAATCCTCTGGGCTCAGGCATTCCTCTTGCCTTGGCCTCCCAAAGTGCTAGGATTACAGGCTTGAGCCACTGTGTCCGGGTTAGCCATGTAATTTTTGTACTCTTCTTTCATTAATAGAATTCTACTGCATAGTATACTGTATTTTTTGTGGAGATGAGGTCTCTCTATGCTGCCCAGGCTGATCTCGAACTCCTGGGCTTAAGCACTCCTCATGTCTTGGCCTCCCAAAGTGCTGGGATTATAGATGTGAGCCACTATGCCTGGCCTGTACACTGTGTTTAAACAATTAATTTTTCCTTTACCAAACCTTTTTGGAATTGTTTTCAGTACATGCATGATGAAATAGTTAATTTTTTCTTAAAGTGTTTCTAATATTTAGATACATCTTATATGCCAGCAAAATGATGAGAGTGCTCAAGAACGACATCTCACTCCTCATTTGGCAATCTTTCAGAGGATAAAGATAAAGAAAATACATAACTTGCTAGGGTGATGGGAATCCTTTTTCTTTCTTTTGCTTTTAGTCTGAGTATTTTTTCTTATTTTTTATTTTATTTTTTTGAGTGGGAGTCTCACTCTTGCCCGGTCTGGAGTGCAGTGACATGCTCCTGGCCACCACAGCCTCAACCTGCTGGGCTCAGGCGATCCTTCCACCTCAGCCTTCCAAGTAGCCGGAACTACAGGCATCCACTACCATGCCCAGCTAATTTTTGATTTATTGTGGAGACGAGGTCTTGCCAAGTTGCTCAGGCTGGCCTCAAACCTGCGGGCTCAGGCAATCTACTCGCCTCAGCCTATCAAAGTGCTAGGATTACAGGCTGTGGCTGAGCCACAGTTGATTATTTTTTATCAACTGTGAATTGATATAATGATAGCCAATAAAGAGGTGGTTTGTAGTTTTGAATGTTTAAATTAATAATATTTGTTAGCTGTTTTTCAGGGGTAAATTGTCTTTACTAAAATTGACACCGATCCATGATTGCTTTACTATCCAGAATCCAGGAGGGTATCTGTAATCTAGAGTCTAATTAAGTTATTATTATTAATTTATTATTTTGCATTTAGTCACTCTCTGTTGCCCAGGCTGGAGTACAGTGGCACAGTCTTGGCCACCGCAGCCTCGACCTGCTGGGCTCAGATGATCCTTCTGCTTCAGCCTTCCAAGTAGCTGAAATTACAGGCAAGCACCACCACACCCAGCTAATTTTTTGTTTTATTGTACAGATGAGGTCTTACCAAGTTGCCCACGCTGGTCTTGAACCCCTGGGCTCAGGCAATCCTCTCACCTCGGCCTCCCAAAGTGCTGGGATTATAGGCATGAGACACCGTGCCAGGCCTAGAGTGTAATTAAATTAAAATCTGAGCTATTTTTTCTTGAATGTGACATTCTTTCGGTTTAATTCCTGTTATAACATAATTTTCACCTATGTCTTAGATGACAGGAATGCTTCCAGAGTCTGGTTATTTTTTATTTCGTCTCTGATTTTTCCTTACCCATGTTTTATTTTTTTCCACCCCCAGTACTTACAACCTTTTATTCTGTGGTTCCTGTGGAATTTCCATTGGTTTCCATCTATATTCTACTCATGCTGCCCTGGCTACCCTGAGAGGTCACTTCTGCCTTTCCAGTGACAAAATGCTGTGGTGAGTAGATTTAAATATTGTTCCTCAAATACATTTTAAAAATCTTCTGGATGTCGGGCTCGGTGGCTCAGCCCGTAATCCCATGCCTTTGGGAAGCTGAGGTGAGTGGATTGCCTGAGCCCGCGGGTTTGAGACCTGCCTGGGCAGCGAGACCTCATCTCTACAATAAATCAAAAAATCAGCCGGGTGTGGTAGCGCATGCCTGTAATTCCGGCTACTTGGAAGGCTGAGGCGGAAGGATTGCCGGAGCCCAGCAGGTCGAGGCTGTGGTGGCCGGGAGCAGCCACTGCACTCCAGTCTGGGCGACAGAGTGAGACTCCAACTCAAAAAAAAAAAAAAATCTTTTAGAAAAGACAGAGTGTACCAAAGAAGATGCTAAAGATAGCAGTGGGTTGGGTACCATAGCTCACACCGTAATTCCAGTGTTTTGGGATGTCAAGGCAGGAGGATTGCTTGAGGTCAGGAATTCAAGACCTACCTAGACAACATAGACTCTGTTTCCATAAAAAAGAGCCAGGCATGGTGGTATGTTCCCATAGTTTTACTACTCTGGAGGCTGAGGTGAGAGCATCGTTTGCTCCCAGGAGGTCATGGTTGCAGTGAGCTATGATCATGCCATTGTACTTCAGCCTGGGCAACAGAGTGAGACCCTGTCTCTCTCTCTCTCTCTTTTTTTTTCAAGGAAGTAACCTTTATTTCCTTGTTTTGCAAATAAAGCTGGCTGAGTTGGTTGCTTTCTGATTAGTCAAAGAGACCAAATCCCATATCCTCGCACGACTCCTCCAACTCTTCCTTGGTTTCAACCTTGGCCGGAGCTGCAGGGGCAGCAGCAGCGACAGGGGCAGCAGCCACAAAGGCAGATGGATCAGCCAAGAAGGCTTGAACTTTTCAGCAAGTGGGAAGGTGTATTCAGTCTCCACAGACAAAGCTAGGACTCATTTGTACCCATTGATAATAGAATGGGGTACTGATGCAACAGTTGGATAACCAATCTGCAGACAAACACTGGCAACATTGCGGACACCCTCCAGGAAGCGAGAGTTCAGAGTGTCCTCTGTGATGTCAAGCACTTCAGGGTTGTAGATGCTGCCGTTGTCGAACACCTGCTGGATGATCAGCCCAAAGGAGAACGGCGAGATGGTCAGCAGTGTGGCTTCACTGGCTCCCACTTTGTCTCCAGTCTTAATCAACTGCACATCACTCAGGATTTCAATGGTGCCTCTGGAGATTTTAGTGGTGATACCTAAAGCCTGGAAGAAGGCGGTCTTCTCAGGCCCCAGACCAGTGTTCTGGGCTGGTACAGTGACTTCACATGGGACAATGGCACCAGCATGGGCAGCAGCTGGCACCTTGTTGGCCAGCAGCATGTCCCGGATCTCAGTGAGGCCCTCCTTGGTGAACACAAAGCCTGCATTTCCCCGGATATGAGGCAACAGTTTCTCCAGAGCTGGGTTGTTTTCCAGATGCCCTCGGATGGCCTTGCGCATCATGGTGTTCTTGCCCATCAGCACCACAGCCTTCCCTCGGAGGGACGTGCGGATCTGCTGCATCTGCTTGGAGCCCACGTGGTCTGCGCCCACAGTGAAGCATTTTGGGTAGTCATCCAAAAGTTGGATGATCTTAAGGAAGTAGTTGAACTTCCAGGTCGCCCTGTCTTCCCTGGGCATCACAGCGATGCGTCAGGGATTGCCACGCAGGGTTTAAAGACGATGTCACTCAGACAAGAATGCCTGGCGAGAGCTCTCTCTTTTTTTAAAAGACAAGGTCTCGCTCTGTTGCCCAGACTGGAGTGTAGTAGCAGTGTAGCCTCGAGTTCCTGGGCTCAAGTGATACTCCCACCTTGGCCTCCCAAAGCACTGGGATCACAGGCATGAGCCACTGTGCTAGCTGACCCTACCTAAAAAAAAGGAAAAAGCAATGGGACCATAATATAATTTATTCTATTTTTTTGAGTCACAGTCTCACTCTGTCACCTAAGCAGAGTACAGTAGCACAATCATTGCTCACCACAGTCTCAAACTCATGGGCTCAAGCAATCCTTCTACTTCAGCCTACTGAGTAATTGGGACTACAAGTATGTGCCACCATGCCCAGCTAATTTTATTATTTTTTGTAGAGACACAGTCTTGCTATGTTTCCCAGGCTGGTCTTGAACTCCTGGACTCAAGCAATCCTGTTGCCTTGGGCTCCCAAAGTGCTAGGATTACAGGTGTGAACCACCACACCAAACCTACAATTTTGTAACATTGTCATCATTGTAGATGTCTTATAAATTTGTTTCAATCCTTGTTTTGTTGAATTTTGATGTCTTGTAATCATTCCATGTCTTAATAATCATAACATTGAACAGTTCAGAGGGCATTCTTTCAGTAAAGAAAATTCTTGCTGGGTGTGGTGGTGTGTGCCTATAACCCTAGCTACTCAGGAGGCTGAGGCAGGAGGATACCTTCATCCCAGGAGTTCAAGACCAACCTGGGCAACATAGTGAGACACCCCCCATCTCAAAAATAAATAAATAATAAATAAAATAATAACAGAAATTTTTAAAAAGAAAATTCTAAAAGGTAAGCTTTTGCGAAATAATATTGCACTAGATACCTTTTGGGTTTGTGCCCAGCCTCTGTCTCCTTCCAGTAGAGGTGGGGCCTTATAGCCATGTTTGTATCATGTGTGTGATACCACTCCCAGGTATTGAACAAGGAATGGATACCTGACCTAAACTAAGCCAGCCAGGTTTCCTACCTAAGGAATTTGAAATAAGGGCCCAGAGACACTGGTCATTTGTAGATGGCACTGGCGTTGAAGGTAGGAAGTGAAAGCTCTAGGTTTGGAGTAGTTATTTCCTATATTATGCATGTAACTACAGAGAAATCTTGTCTACAGAAAAATATGAAGCCAATGCACAGAGAAGAGTAAAAATAATGGCCAGGCGTGGTGGCCGCCCCCAGCCTAATTAATTTCTTTCTTTTTTTTTTTTTATTCAATACTTTTTATTATGGTGTTGTGGAGTACAGTTAAGGGTTAGGTATACAAGTACGTTTCATTCAGGCACCCTGTTGATAAGAGGTGTTTCCTCGTCCCCAGATAGATATTTACTGCCATTGATCCCATCTCCCTCCCCGCCTAATTAATTTCTTTTCTTTTCTTTTCTTTTTTTTTGAGTTGGAGTCTCCCTCTGTCACCCAGACTAGAGTGCAGTGACCGCTCCCGGCCACCGCAGCCTCGACCTGCTGGGCTCTGGCGATCCTTCCACTCAGCCTTCCAAGCAGCTGGAAATACAGGCACGCGCTACCACACCCAGTTAACTTTTTGATTTACTGTAGAGATGAGGTCTCACCTAGTTGCCAGGTGGGTCTTAAACCCACGGGCTCAGGCAATCCACTCACCTCGGCCTCCCAAGGCGCGGGATTCCAGGCTGAGCCACCGAGTCAGGTTAATTAATTTCTTAATCATCAAAATGAGTTGGGTGAAAGGTCAGAATGTTCTTTTTGATTAAGTAGCAACTAGGGAAGTATAGGTAGCATGAGTCTGGGCAGATAATAAATCTATGCCTGTGTGTATAACTAGAATGAATTTGACTGGTTGCTAATAACAAAACCTGACGAACAGTGGCTTTAACAAGTAAGACGGGGGCAACCCCTTTGGGTCCCCTCCCACTATGAGAATTTTTCTGACCTCTCAACAAATCTTGCTTTAAAAAAAAAACAAAACAAGTAAGAGGTGGGGCAGCTGCTGCTTCAGGAAGCTTCTAGTGGTTCAGCCATGACAGGACTCTGGGTCAGCATGTGTTTGGTTCTCGTGACCTTTTTCTCTTGGATGCAGGATGGCTGCTACAATCACAGTCATTACATCCATCAGTGGTAGTATTCTCAACAGGAAGGAAGGGATATGGGGAGTGTGGGAACATGAGAGAAGTTCTTCTTTGGACAGCATAAACTTTCTTATTCTTCTTGACCAGAACAATGTTACATGATCACCTAAGCTAGGAAAACAAGTTTATGACAAAGGCTTGTGACAAACCATGAATTCTGTTAGCAAGAAAGAAGTGAGGAATCGCTACTGGATAGGTGATCAGTGCTGCTCGTCATAATGTCATGATTTTCCTTCAGACTATATGCTACAGGATCCTCCTGGTGGAGTGTGAAGCTTATACCCGTCATGATTATTCATGTGTCCCTAGTTTTTGTCTTTAGTTTATCCTGAGATTGTTTTGTCTCTGGGAAAGGGTGGATGAGACATAGAATCTCGCTTATTTGTGTATTGAGAATTTTTTTTTTTCAACACAATGCAGTCGTCCCTCAGTATCTGTGGAGGATTGACTCCAAGACTCCTACAGATACCAAAATCCACAGACACTCAGGTCTCTGATATAAATTGGTGTAATATTTGTATATTACCTTTACATATCCTCTTATATACTTTAAATCATCTCACTGGGCTCAGCGGCTCACACGTGTAATCCCAGCACTTTGGGAGGTGGAGGTGAGAGGATTGCCTGAGTCCAGGGGTTCGAGACCAGGCTGGGCAACTTGGCGAGACCTTGTTTCTACAATAAATCAAAAAGCTAGCCAGGCGGGGTGGTGCATGCCTGTGGTCCCAGCTGCCTGGAAGGCTGAGGCAGAAGGATTGCCTGAGCCCAGCAAGTCGAGGCTATGGTGACCATGAGTATGCCATTGTACTCCAGCCTGGGCAACAGAGCGAGACTCCAACTAAAAAAAAAACAACCAAAAAAAATCATCTCTAGGTTACTTACAATACCTAATATAAATTCTTATAAATAATTGTTAATACATTATTGTTTAAGGAATAATGACATGATGACAAGAAAAGGAGTGTGCACATGTACAGTACAGACATAAGCATCAATTTTTTTTCTCCAAATATTTTCAGTTCATGGTTGATTGAGTCAATGGATCCGGAATCTATGGGTATAGAGGGCTGACTGTACAACTTGAAATGAAAATCAGTAAGAAGGCTAGCTTTGTTTGACACATACTTTCTTTAGATGACAATATAATCTTTTTTGTTTGAGTTGGAGTCTCACTCTGTCACCCAGACTGGAGTGCAGTGGCCACTCCCAGCCACCACAGCCTCG